CACACACACACACACACACACACACACACACACACACACACACACACTCACATTTTCGTTGACTGAATATATATATATAGCCTACTCCTTACTTCGTGCTTGTCTGACTCTTGGTGCTGCGCAGACCCTGACATTGACAATGTCACTGACAGGCGGAGACGCTGTCCCCGCTCGATCATCGCCCATTGCGTGATCTCCGCAGGGGACGCCCGATCCTCGTTACAGCGTCGATCGATCTCCATGTGCAGCGCAGGGGTTGTTGGGCATTTCACCGCACAGCGGTGGTCCGGAGGTCCGGTTGGGGAAAAGGCGTCGCGGTACCGTTTCGCATGCGACTGGCAGCGTCGTTGGCCCGGGCGTGACACCCATTTCGCCTTTCGCTGGTGTGTTGGGGGCTTCTCCGCCGGGTGTGGCCGGGGTTCGTGACGCGGCCGCGTATGGAGGTGTGTATGGTGGTCCGTTGCTGCCTAGACGGCTGGACTATGCGGCCACGATTCCTTTAGCACCTGCATGGTCACATGTGGTGGTCCCGCCATGTCCCACTGGACGCGGTTCTCTTTCAAGAGATCGCAGCGACGCTTGGCGTTGTCCAACCGTTTCACGTCCAGGAGTCGTCGGCGCGGCGGCGGGTTCGTTTGCGGTGCCGCCTCAGGCTCCCTTTGTCGCTCCTGATTCCACACCTTTGGTTGACGATGTGGATAGCTCTGCGGCAGTCGGCGGCACGCCGTGTTCGGGCGGCAACAGCATCGTGTGTGTGTGTGTGCGGGACGCGTGTCGGAGGCGGTTGTACGCTCTCCGCGACGCTATGGCCGGTGTGCGTGACCATCGCGGACCGGTCAGCGACGTTATTGATCGGCTGCTCCACTGGTCCTTGCCAGCCATCCATGCGGAGTTTGGTGTCGAGGTAGCAAATGTGATTTCTTCTTCGTTGCCATCTCGGGTATGCAGTCGAGATTTCACGTTGCGTTATATGCCAGGCGATTCCGGTGTCGACTACGGTCAGGGGGGTTCGCAGGGTTCAGCGAGTGGAGGGTTGGGGGAGTCTCATGACGGATCGCAGAACTCGTTCCCGTCATCGCGTCGCGCATCGCAGCGCAGTGACAGAGGGCGCGACACAACCTGCAGCGCGGGTCACTGCACACCGACACCTGCCCGACCGCAGACATGGTGGGATAGTTGGGAAGGTGTTGACTAGTGCGGTCTTGGCCTGAAATTGACTGTGCCAGTGTTGAGGAGGCGATGGCGTTGTGGAGTGGACCGACGGCGCCGGATGTTGTGTTTCTGGAGCCGGTCAAGCTTCTTCGATTGCTGGCCATGTTTCATCTATATTGCCCATGGCACAAGGGGCTCGTGCCGTGTGTCTGTGGAGTCCGTCTCCTATCCTGCGCAGCTCTGTAAGCTGACGTTCGTATGCGGCAAGAAATGCAAATGGATGAAGCATACGACACTCGTGACCATGAACGTCCATCAGTCGCGAGTGATGCAGCAGCTCTTTCATGCGACGGTCACCGCCGGCGTTACGTTCACGCTCCTCGATAACTTTTGTGTTAGTTTAGGGATGTGCTCGGTGCACAAACCCACATTCTACAAGTTTATGCGCATAGAACCGGGGGGGGCGGAGCGGTGGAATGCCAAGGTCGTACGGCAGGGCATAAAATATTGCGAGCTTGTCATTGATATTGTGATGCGCCGTGGTGAGCCAGTGACATTGATGGTTGATGGTCGATATGACTCTGCCAGAGGCGCGCAACATTGCACTGTCACCGCGATGGAGTATGGGACTCGGCTTGTCGTAGGTGTTCACACTTTCCGTCCGAAGATTGAAGGCAAGGCATCGAATGCGCTTGAGGTGCCAGCCCTCGTGCAACTTTTGCGAGGGCTGATGGAGAAGGGGTTGAAGATCCGGTGTGTTGTCTCGGATGATTGTGCCGCGTTGGGACCGCAGTTGCGAGCTATGAACATCGAGTGGCCGAAGGATTGCCACCACAAAATAAAAAACATTCGCAAGCACTTCCACAGTATGCTGCAACTGAAGGAAGCGAAGAAAGTGAGCAACCCGCACGAGTGTGTGTCAGAGGCGCAGTTTATGCAGCTCACGAACAAGCGGCTAAAAGAGGCGTTGGAGCAGCGTTTTGGATCTGACATCCTCACACCTGCTGAGGAGCGGATGATGAAATCGGATTTCGTCGCTGTCGTCATGCGAAAGATGTACCCCTACGGATCGATGTCGAACGCTCGAGCGTTGGAGACTGATCTAGACGGCTTGACAGAGTATCATGCGCATGAGGTTGGGATATGGTTCCTCCGTGCTTGCCAGCTGTATAGCGAGGAGGACGGAGACGCCGACAGTCTACACGTCGACATTATGTTGGTCGCCAATCATTGGGCTGGTGATCATTTGGGATGTGTCGACGGTAGGGAGGTTCTGTGCGAGAAGGTCGGTGGGCGTGCACGATGGCCTTTGTATAGCCGCACGGACACGGTCTACGAGCTTGTTCTGCGTGTTCTCGATAAAAAATGCAGCACTAACATCACGTCGTACCACGTCGAGTTTCGGCACACATCGGCGGTGGAGACTTTTCAGGGCACCAGCATGATGTCGCGGTGTAGACTGTCGGCATCTCCGCCCTCCTCACTGCACACCTGGCAAGCGCGGAGGAACCACATCCCAACCTCATGCGCATGATACTCTGTCAAGCCGTCTGGATCAGTCTCCAACGCTCGAGCGTTCGATCTCGATCCGTAGGGGTACATCTTTCGCATGACGACAGCGACGAAATCCGAGACAATGCACCGGATCTTCAACCCCTTTTCCATCAGCCCTCGCAAAAGTTGCACGAGGGCTGGCACCTCAAGCGCATTCGATGCCTTGCCTTCAATCTTCGGACGGAGAGTGTGAACACCTACAACAAGCCGAGTCTCGTACTCCATCGTGGTGACAGTCCAATGATGCGCGCCTCTGGCAGAGTCATATCGACCATCAACCATCAATGTCACTGGCTCACCACGGCGCATCACAGTGTCAATGGCAAGCTCGCAATATTTTATGCCCTGCCGTACGACCTTGGCATTCCACCGCTCCGCCCCCCCCGGTTCTGTGCGCATAAACTTGTAGAATGTGGGTTTGTACACCGAGCACATCCCTAAACCAACACAAAAGTTATCGAGGAGTGTGAACGTAAGGCCGATGGTGACCGTCGCATGAAAGAGCTGCTGCATCACTCGCGACTGATAGACGTAGGTGGTCACGAGTGCCGTGTGCCACGTCCATTTGCATTTCTTGTCGCATACGAACGTCAGCTTACAGAGCTGCGTAGGATAGGAGACGGGTTCCACAGACACACGGCACGAGCCCTTGTGCCACGGGCAATATAGATGAAACATGGCCAGCAATTGAAGAAGCTTGACCGGCTCCAGGAACACAACATCCGGCGCCGTCGGTCCACTCCACAACGCCATCGCCTCCTCAACACTGGCACGGTCAATTTCAGGCCCAGGACCGCACTGGTCAACACCTTCCCAACTATCCCACCACGTCTGCGGCCGGGCAGGTGTTGGTGTGCAGCGACCCGCGCTGCGGGGTCTGCCACGCCCTCTGTCGCTGCGCTGCGATGCGCGACGCGATGACGGGAACGAGTTCTGCGATCCGTCATGAGACTCCCCCAACCCTCCGCTCGCTGAACCCTGCAAACCCCCCTGACCGTAGTCAACACCGGAATTGCCTGGCATATAACGCAACGTGAAATCTCGACCTCACACCTGAGATGGCAACGAAGAAGAAATCACATCTGCTACCTCGACACCAAACTCCGCACGGATGGCTGACAAGGACCAGTGGAGCAGCCGATCAATAACATTGCTGACTGGTCAGCGATGATCACCCACACCGGCGATAGTGTCGCGGAGAGCGTACAACCGTCTCCGACACGAGTCCCGCACACACACACACACGCTGCTGTTGCCGCCCGAACACGGCGTGCCGCCGACTGCCGCAGAGCTATCCACATCATCAACCAGAGGTGTGGAATCAGGAGCGACAAAGGGAGCCTGAGGCGGCACCGCAAACGAACCCGTCGCCGCGCCGACGACTCGCGGACGTGAAACGGTTGGACAACGTCAAGCGTCGCTGCGATCGCCTAAAAGAGAACCGCCTCCAACGGGACATGGTTGGGCCACCGCATGTGACCATACAGGTGCTGAAGGAATCGTGGCCACATAGTCCAGCCGTCTAGGCAGCAGTGGGGATGGCATTTACGGACCACCATACACACCTCCATACGTGGCCGCGTCACGAACCTCGGCCACACCCGGCGGAGAAGCCCCCAACACACCAGCGAAAGGCGAAATGGGTGTCACGCCAGGGCCAACGACGCTGCCAGTCGCATGCGAAACGGTACCGCGGCGCCTTTTTCCCAACCGGACCTCCGGACCAGCGCTGTGTGGTGAAACGCCCAACAACCCCCGCGCTGCACATGGAGATCGATCGATGCTTTGACGAGGATCGGGCGTCCCCTGTGGAGATCCCACAACGGGCGATGATCGAGCGGGGACAGCGTCTCCGCCTGTCGGTGACATTGTCAATGTCAGGGTCTGCACAGCACCGAGAGTCACACAAGCACGAAGTAAGGAGTAGGCTATATATATATATATATATTCAGTCAACGGGAATGTGTGTGTGTGTGTGTGTGTGTGTGTGTGTGTGTGTGTGTGTGTGTGTGTGTGTGTGAGAGAGAGAGAGAGATTGATTTATTGATTG